GTTTTCGACATAATTAATTTTATATTACTTTATTTAACACCGTTGGCCGTCATGACGGTTTTATATTCCGTCATTGCAGTGAGACTTTGGAATTCCGAATTGAATTATTCAACCAATTACGTAAGTTAATCATTATTATTATTATTTTTTTTTTTAAACCCGTACAATCATTCCCGATAAATAAATAAAAAAAAAAAATGTGCGACTCGAAAAAATAATTAATAATAATAATAATAAAAAGAAAATTTTAAAAAAAAATTTTCCGTCATTTGATTACTCGTTAAAATTAATTCGAAATTGACGAAAAGTATTTTGAGATTTCATATCGGAAAATAAAATTCGAAGGAGATTCTTTCGAAATCGAAAATTTTTTTTTTTTTTCGAATACGTTCGAAAGAATTATTTATATATATATATATATATATATATATATATATATATATATATATAGACGTGGCAGGAGATTGTTTGTCGATACGACATCATCGCGTAATTTAAAATTATTGTTTTATTCTTATTTGCGTTCGTACAGAAGAAAAATAGAAGAAAGGAACCCATAACGGATAGCAGGAATTCTATATCGTCAAATAATACAACGTCATATAGTTTCGATAGAAAAAATATAAATTATTCAATGAGGAGGCAAACAACGACGGGAGAAAGAATAAATCACTCACCGCATTATCATCAAGTTTATCAATATAATCCGGGAAGAAATGTGAAAAAAAATTCCCATTATAGATCAAGTAAAAACATATTGAAAGCACGAAGGAGAGTTATAAGAATGTTAACAATGGTCGTATTAGCGTTCGCCATTTGCAATTTGCCATTTCACGCGAGAAAAATGTGGCAATATTGGTCTACGCAATACGATGGAACATCCTCATTCAGTTCTCTATTCACTCCTATAACATTTTTATGTACTTACTGTAATTCCTTGATAAATCCTTTGCTCTATGCTTTCTTATCGAAAAATTTTCAAAAAAGCATAAGAGAATTATTTACGTGTACCTGGAGTAAAAGTAAATATCATTCGAAACAAATATCTTTTCGTCAAAAATCACACAGATCCGTTACGAGAAGCATATCGAATAATGGATGACAAATAATATTTAAATCCGATAAATATTATCCATCGAATAGTTCTTGTTCGCAAGGAACGATCACAATGAAAATACAAGAATTGAGTTCTGAAGATTTCGACGAATGTGATAAATAATTAAAAATGGCGGAAAATAACGGTTATTCCTTTACGTTGATGTTATACGAAAAAAACAATTATTATTATTTTATTAACACTCGCGATTATATTTTCATTCACGACACTTTTTTTTTGTTTTATTTTATCCATCACTAAACTATTTACAAAATATATAAAAGATTTTAAAAAAACCGTTTAAAATCTTTTTTTCATTTTTTCCAACGGTTATTTTCGAGTCGTTACATAATCGAAAATATTTCTTAATACAAGTTTTGAATTATTTTTTACTTTTATCTGAAGTAAATCTCCCGGTGAAATTTTATCTTTTTATAAACGTATAAACTATAAATTTTACACACAAAACTACAAAAAAAACTTTTTAAAAAGACTTTAAAAAAAAGAAAGAAAGAAAATTTTTAACGAACAATTTTTTTGAAAATTTCGAACGTACTGACAACAGCGACTCAAGTGACGTTTTTTGTAACTAATCGTCACTCACGCCAACCGAATTTAAAAAAAAAAAAATTTTCTTTTTATTTTGGAAATTTGACACGCAAATAAAAAAAAAAATTATTTTAAATTTGAGAATATTCTAGAAAAATTACTGCGGATTGAATTTTTTTCCCCGGTGTTCGCGTATAAAAAGTTATCAAATGAAATATATTTATTAAATATATATTTATTTCGAACAATTCGTTAAGGTGTGTTTTTTTTATAACGTTTATTTTTTAATAAAATTAATTAAAAATAAACGTTAAAAATTGTCAAGACTTATTTCATTTATTATTAAAGAAAATTTTATATATTTAATTTTACGTACTTAAATATTTAATTCGTTAACATTTATTTTTAAAAAATTCATTATATATATATATATATATTTATTATTGTTTTTTCTATTTGATAATTATTTTTCATTTTTCCTTTGATAATATTTCCTATTAATTATTATTATTATTATTTTTCGCCATCTTTTATTACGAAATTATAAATATTTACAAAAAAATAAAAATTTTCAAAAGTTTTTATTTAATTTAAAAACGAGCAAAAGAGCATTCTATCGGATATTTATTAAACTAAACCGATAAAAAAGTTATTAAAAAATTTCAAAAGATGACGTTCATGCAATTTGTTTTGCTTTTTCACGGTACAAAATAATAAAAATGAAAATTTTTTTTTTTTTTTGTATTTTTCTTCTCATGGAATTATCCAGTGAGCCATGAGTGTTTTACTGGAACGTTTCACCGCAATATATGATAATATCATTTAAATGAATGTTTTCACGTGAAATTTCCTAGGGAAAAAATCGTAATAATATCATTATTAATTTGTTCGTTTGTTTGTTACTACCCTTATTTGTTTTACCCCCTCCTACCACCACCACCACCCCTTTTTAGCGTGATTTTTAATACGAAAAAATTAAATTTTTTTTTTTTATACAATGTACGACATTTGTAAATTATGCGTGATATTTTTGTTTACATGGTTATGACGATTTTACTTTTGGAAAAATTCATATCAAACGGTTATTACGGTGAGTTTTTCCATTTTTTTTTTTTTTAACCGTACCGATAATAATAATAATAATTTAACGTATATTTTTTTTTCCAGACGTGACAGAAGAATACGGATGCGAAAATACGAAATTTCGTTTAAATTGTAATTCCGTAAGGAAAACAATCGTTATATTCGATGGGATTTTTTCAAATGATGAAAATTTTTTTAAAATCCATAATATCCCATGTAAAAATTCCAGGAGATCGATAAGAAATTGTAAAACTTGTTGTTCGGATAAGGAAAAAATCATTAATGATAATAATTATGATAATGATAATGATAAAATAATAATTGGATTCGAAAACGAAACAAACGATTATAATAATAATAATAATAATTTTGAAGAAATTAAATTTAAACATTTGATTACTAAAAGGTGAGTTGTTGTTTGTTTGTTTGTTTGTTTGTTTTGTTTATGGAGAGCTTTATAAAACGTTTGCATGGCGACGAAAAATTTGGCTGGAAATTTGGCTGGAAAAAAATCGAACGACATTTGTTTTTAATAACACGATCGATATTTTATACGTTAAATTTTTTTTTTTAAATATTTTTGATAAAAGGAAATCTGATAAGAATTTTAACAGCTGGAGTGGGGGTGACGGGGGGTGGAAGGGTGATGGGGGGATAGAAGGGGACGTGGGTGGGGGGGAAACTAATCGACTTTTTGGAAAACGTATTTTAAATTTTTTAGTAAAAACTTTTTGTTTTTTTTTTATTAAATTTACAACGTAACAACTGGAGAAATTTTTTTTTGTTTTTTTTTTTGGAATTTTCCAGACGGTTTTTTTTTCTTTTCTCCAGAATTTTTATTTTGTTTATTTAAATTTGTTTTTATTTCCTTTGGGGAATTTATTCTTTAAAATAAAAAAACAAATTTTTTTTTTTTTTTTTGGAGAAAAAAAGGAGAAAAGATTTAAAGTCTTGAAAAAAAATTTTTTTTTTTTTTCACACGTGAAAAAAAACCGAAAGCATCCACGTTTAATTTCCCGAAGGATTTTATCTCCACTTCCGTTTTTTTTTCTGGAAAAATAAAATAAAATAAAATAAAAATAAATTTTCGTTAAACAAAGTTTAACCTTTTTTTATTTTTTTTTTTTAATTCTCCAGGATTAAATTTTTTTTTTTATTTTTTATTTTTGTAACGTTCCCAAAACTCTCGTTTACTGGAATTTTTTAATACCTTTTTTTTTAACTTTTGTTACGTTGTCAGCACTTTTTTTTTCCATGTTTCAGATGTTCTGGAGTTAACTATTGCACTTTTGTTTTCGATGAAGATTATGAAGAATCTAAAAAAATTGGTCCAGGTGGTGTTTATATTCGTTACGCTTGCGTTCCAGGTGAGTAAAACTAATAAACCGTTAAATTATTATCATCATCATCATCATTATTATTATTATTATTGTTTAAAACTTTTTTCGTTTTTTGAGTCCGTATTTACAATAATAAAAATTTTTTTTATATAATTTTCATAACTCCCGTCATTTAAAATTTTTCATAACTTAATAAATAATAATAATAACGATGATGATGATGACGTCATTTACATGTCATGATGACGTCAAACCTTTTCGTAAAAGGGATTTCACGTAAATAAAATTTCATTTTCGTCGCCATTGTAAAAATAAAAAAATGATTTATTTGATTTATCGATTTATCGATCGATCGATCGATCCGTTCGCTTTGTTCCGAACGCGTGTGTGTGTTTGATAGTTGACAAAAAAAAAAAATTTTTTTTTTTTTATTGTTTTCCCCCAAAAATTTTCCCTCGTTTAAAAATGATTTTCATTAATTCCTTTTAGTCATTCTCCATTCTTCTTATAGTCAGTCGTCAGCTGCCATCTGCTCCTGTTTTCACCCGAAACGACTTTATTAATTGCAAATGGCCGTCAAATATCGACCCCATTTTTTTTCTCTAAAAGTCTTCGGGTGAATAATAATGAAATTATTATTCGTTCTTCTTCTCCGGTTTTCTCCCCCTTTTTCTTTTCCCTACTGACCCGATAACACAGTTTTCCATTGTCTTATGTCTTCCCACCCCTCCCCCTTACCCTACGTCTTTCGTTATGGTATGACTTTCGTATCATCATCGCCAAAAAACTTTTTATATAGATTATGTGAAAATTTTTGGAATCGATTTTTCCACATGGAAATTTCGAATAAATTTTTGTCCATGAAATGATAATAATAATAATAATAATAATTTATTTTCTCATAAATTTGTTCAGAATCGTGACTTTAACAAAACAAAACGAAAAACGTTCTTTGGAGAAGTAGAAAAAGAAACGAATTTCAATTTATAAATAAAATATATCCACGGTCACGTGTTCATTGTGTGCTCATGTAAAAATTCACCCCCCTTTCTTATTAAAAAAAAAAAAAAAAGGATTTTCATAATAATAATAATAATAATAAAAAAAGGGTTTTGCCTTTGGGGTTTACGCGAGCGACCTTTTCACCCATTTGAAAATCTCTTACGTAATCTTAAAAGTTTTTTTGTTTTTTACATTTCGATTTTTTTTTTTCGTGTCAATTTCAGATACGATAATGAAAAAAACATGCGATACGTATTTGAACGTGTCAGAAGAAGAAGGTTTTGCAAGGACTCCAGGTTATCCGAGTTATTACGTCGGTGAAACAAATTGTAAATGGATGTTAAAATCATCGCCGTTGCAAAGGATAAAAATAACTTTTTTAGACGTGTCAATAAGAAACGTTGCTCCCCACGAAATGGATTGCTTGGATAAAATAATAGTTTCGGAAAATGGTTTGAATCTTTTAACGGCTTGCGGTGATTCGTTTGAAAACGTCGTCGTTTTATCATCCGGTTCGTCATTGAACGTGTCATTTGTCACACAATCGAAAAATCTTTTTCCAAAACGTGGAATTTTATTTCATTACAAAGGTAAACTCGATAATAATAATTATTTATAAAAACAGGTGAAGGATCAAATCCGCCAAATCGAATCATTCGTACCGGAAAAAATTCCCCCCCCTTTTCCCTCCCCTCCTCCCTCCCTTGTGAATTAATTTAATGCCACGGTTTTTTAAAAATAAAAAATTTTTTCAGCCGTTGGATGTCCGTCATTAAAAAAACCAGAAGACGGTTATTTATACGAAAGAAACGAATCGTTTGTACATTTTAAATGCTGCCACGGTTTTGTTTTTCCTGACACGTTATCAAGAGATAAAATATTACAATGTCAAAATGAAAATTATTGGAACGGACGAATTCTGGATTGCGTCAGTGAGTAAATTGTGAACGGGAGCAAAAAAAAAAAAAAAAAAAAAAAAACAAAATGGTCGTTAACGAACGTAATTAATAAAGAACGCCTTTTGCACGTACACAACAACGACTTTTTTTTTTTTTTTTTTTTTGTCTTCTGCTACGTTTTCTTACATTTAACACCTTTTTTTTTTTGTCATGCGGTTAGTTTTTTTTTTTTTTAGTCGTTGTTTTAACAACACGTTGTGAGGGTGTTTGAGTGTTTTTGTTTTCTCTCTCTCTCTCTCTCTCTCTCTCTCATTTGTTTTTATTACGAATGGAACGTTTTAAAGTATAATTAATTAATTAATCATCATCATCATTAATTAATCATGAGCGGTACGTAATTTATATATATACATAAATAAATTTATTGAAATGATATTTTATGAATTTTATTTTTTTTTTAATACGAACACTCGTGATTTATTATTATTATTATTATTATTGTCATCAATCGAACGAACGAACGAAAGAACGAACGAGTGTGAACGAGGATTTATAGAGAGAGAGAGAGAGAGAGAGAGAGAGAGAGAGAGAATATTCGTCATCGGATATTTTACGCGTAGTAAATCGAAAACTAATTCTTGTGCGTTTATGTGTGTACGATTCGGTTCGACATTTTTTTTTCTTTTTTTTTTTTTCTGTGAAATTTTGTTCGTTTCGGAAAAATAATAACATAAAATCAACGTGTAAAAACACATACACGTGAGACAGAGAGAGAGACAGAGTACGCGCGCACGTGCACGCACGTTCGTATTAAAGAAACGTATTTCGTAACGTTTTTTTTTGTGCGAAGGTTATTCATTCATTTTTTATTATTTTTATTATTATTATTATTATTACTTTTTTTTTTTTTTTACAAAAAATTACGTCGAAGGGAAAATAATAATAATGATGATGATGATGATAATGATAATGATAATGATAATTTTTTTAAAAACATTTTAATGTAGGTTAAGTGAATTTTTTTTCCTCTCTTTTTTAATTATTATCGATTTTAAAAAATTCGTTTAAAAAATATGACGTGATTTATTATTATTATTATTATTTAATTAGGTCTTCGGTAAGTTCTGAAATGAAAAAATGGGGGTCGAGGTCGGGGAGATGGGGAGCAGTTAAAAAAAAAAAGAAAATGATGTAAACGACGTAATTTTTTTCAATTTTTTACACAACGGGTTACATCCTGTCACGTATGAAAAAAAATTTAAAAAATTTGTTTGTTTGTTTGTATGTTCGTTTGTTCGGTTGTTTTTTTTTTTATTATTGTTTAAAAAAAAAAAAGGTTGGAATCCTTTCTTCACTTTCGAAAAATTTTCCCGCCTTTTTCGAAATTCGAAAAAAAAAAAAAACAAAAAAAATTTTAAAAAAAAAAAAATTTGTTTGTTTGTTTGTTTATTTTTTAAAGTTTATTCGTTTCCTTCCTTCGTTTTCATTGTTTGTTTTAGATAAATTCCTTGTTGTTGTTGTTGTTGTTGTTTTTTTTTTTTTTATGTATATATAAAAAAAAAAAGTATCCGTTATCAATACGAAGCATGTAGATAACGTACGCAGTTTGCAAATCGAGTAGTTTTCTCATTCTCTCTCTTTCTCTCTTTTTCTCTTAACTCTCCTTCTGCTTTTTTTCCTCTCTCTTTCTCTCTTTGGTCAATATCATAATAATAATAATAATAATAATAATAACAATATGTTTGACGTGTTAGGTTTAGCCAAATTAAACGAAGAAGGAATTTATTTATCATTAAATGATACAATTAACGATAATATGGAGGTAACGGTCGAAGCAAAAATTAACATGGAATCAGTAGATGTTGTTAAAGGTAAGATTTTTTCAATTTATTTATAAAATTTATTTATAAAATGAACTATAACCTTTGACTTTTGACCCTTGGATGAAATTTTCGTTTTTTTGTTTTTTTTTTTTTTTTTTTTTTAGACAGTATTTTGCCAACGATCATAATGCTGGCTTTATTTATCGGAAATGTTGCTATTGTATTTGTAATATATCGTCTTAAAAAAAAGTAAGTCCAATATCATTCATTCATTCCCTCATTCCCTCATTCATTCAATTAATTTTAAATATGTTTTAACGTTGACATCCACGTGGCATCAAATAATAATAATAATAATAATAATAATTTTATTATCTTTTTTTATTTTTAGAATGAGCCAGTCCCGTGATAAAGTGAAAAACGAAACAAATAACGAAACAACAACTTTTATTAAAACTTAACGTTTAACAGTGAAAAGTGTGTTTAAAGTGATATCCGTGTTTTTTTTTTAATATGTTTATTAATAATAATAATAATAACAATAATAATAATAGATTAATAGATTAATAAATAAATAAATAAATAAACGATTGATTAAACGGTTTAAAAATTTTCTATAAAAAATATATTTTTTTCTATTGTGAATCATCATTAATAACAATCACATAATTATTATTATATTTTTTAAATTTAATTAATAATAATAATAAATCATTCGTGGTGAAAATTAATAATAATAATAATAATTTTCTCATTAAAAAATCACATTCATCGAGTTACATACAAAACCAATAAAAAAAAAAAATTTTTTTTTTACAAATTACGATGCGATAAATTAATAGTTAATAATAATAATAATAAAATTCTAAAGGTTAATAATAATAATAATAATAATAATAATAATAATAATAATAATAATAATAATAATAATAAATAAAAATAATAGGATCACAAAGCAAAATAAGAAAAAAAAAAGTAAAAAAAAAAAAAAAAATGTCACCGGTGTGTCATTTTTCAACGAACGCATTTCCACCTTTTAAATTCACATAGTTTGCACATTTATTATTATTATTATTCATTCATTCATTCGATCGTTTGTTAATTTCATTCATTGATTTATTTTCAAATAAAAAATTTATATTAAGAAGACGGTGTGTCTCAATTAATAAAAATTAATAAAATTAAAAGCTAATAAATGCATTTTTTTTTTTTTACGACTAAATTATATTAAAATCGTGAAAATTAAACTAAAAATTATTTTTACGTAATTTGAGTAAAAATTAAAATTAAAAGTTAAAGTAAAAATAAAAAAAAAAATTAAAATAATTCCCTATTATAATTAATCGCCATTTTTTTTTTTTTTTTAGGGACGTTTTTCATTTACGAAACCGACAACAACTACAACAACCGGGAAATGAAGCCCGAACGTTCACTTCCTTGCGAAAATTTCCTTCTATCGATTTTGTTTGTTTGTTTGTTTGTTTGTTTTGTGAATCGAAATTTCCTTTAAAATACTGTTCGTTTCGAATCTTTAATTATTATTATTATTTCTTTTTTTTTTTTTTTTTTAGAGCGTCGTACTTGTGACGCCGTGAACTCCGTGTACGAAAACCGTGGGTGGTAAATCTTCGGTTAAATCCGTCAAATATTGCAAGTAAGTTTTGTGATTGGATGCATTTTGACTTTCGTAAAATTCCGTTGGTAGGTACATGAACAAACAAGACGTTCTATCGGATAATTCGCGAATGAGTTGGTTGATTCTGCAAATTGACAAAAAAAAAAAAAAAAATTCGTTAGAGGAAAAGCGAACGCATTTCAATTAAAATTTTCAAATTTCCTTCCTCACTTTTTAAAATAGATTTTGCATTTATTTTCTGTACAGTTTTCGGAATAAATCGATCCTCCGGGTAACATCGAATAACAATTGCTCCAATCGAAAACCTGGAAAAAAAAAAAAGTTTTTTTCGTGGTAAATAAAATTCCCTTACGAAATCGATAATCAATCAATCAATCGATCAAATTTTGATTACTCTGTGAATCGTTGCTTGAATTCTCAACGACAAAAGAAGTTGTTTGAGACGAGATTCGCTTCCTGGTAAACTTTCCGAATTGTTGTCGCATAAAAATATTCTCAATTTTAATCTTTTCCAACTTGACACCTTTAAATAATTATAAAATTTTTTTTTTTAAATAATTTTTCAAGCCATTGATTTACTTATAAACATTATTATTATTATTATTATTACTACCATATTCAAAATGCAAGCCAATTGAAACATGAATAATGATGTCGTTCCAAATGGATTATCGGGATTCGGGGAAAAAAAATTAATCGGCCATACGTCGATGTACGTATTGGAAGACCTGAAAATTTTTAGTATTATTATTATTATTATTAAATCCGATACGTTTAATAAAAAAAAATCAAATCAATCGATTAGGAAAATGTCGAATTTACTTGGATGTGATTTTTTCCAAAATTTGAAAACGGCGACATATGCATAAATTTTTTTTCATTTTAATGACGTCGGATATTATTCCAGCATAATTTTCAATCGTGAGACTTTTTTTATTCATGTTCCTCAATTGAAATATGTCGATTTCGTGAAAAACTTTTGTGCTGTAGGGATTTTCACTGGAAACAAAAAGAGAAAAAAAAATTTTTCAAACCAACACAAATTGAATTATCGGATTAGAGGCAAGCAAAGTCACACCGATGTTGTAAATTTGCAATGAAAAATTAATGAAAATTTTACGGGGGGGGGGGAAAGGGGGAGGGATTACGTACGTTCCAAAAAAGTCGACCGGCATTTCGTCGTCGTAAAATCCTAAGAAAATAGTATTGGGTTTCATCGCTCCCATGCCGGATATTCTCACCAAATGGTGAAATCCATCTCTCACACTTTTGGCCACGGTCAATTCTACAAAAGCTTTCACCTACAGCAAAATAAGGTAAAAATTAGTGCAGGTATCATTTCAGGTAGAAATTTAATTTTAAAAAAAAGTGAATCGACCGTGAGGAAAAAAAAAGGTACCTTAAGGTTATCGACCAATGACAACCAGTAGGGATATTCATCGATGGTCGTGTCGGTGTCGATATCCAAAAAATCAGAACCCGATTGAACGTGTCCAATGACGTACAATCCTCCTTTTTTTATGTCGTTTACGAAGCTTATCAAAGGACAACAAGTTCGTGGGTTGTTGACCAAAAGTAATATTTGAGGTCTCCAAAATTTAACGTGTTCCTTTCTCGGATCCAATAAAAGTAAATATTTTCGTACCTAAAAAAAAAAAAAAAAACAAAACAGGTCTCGTGAGGTAAAAATAAACTCTCCCTTCCCCCACCAACGTATTCGCCTTAATCACCTGGTGAAATATTAATGCTTGACTTATGGATCCCCATTGATATTTACGACTCGGTGAAAATAAATGAAGGCAAATGATCAAAACGAGGCATAAAATTACACTCAATAGAGCATAAATTAAATTAATAACAAACATCATTATTACTGTCGAGGCCAAACCTAAAAATGCCGTGTGCCAAGAAAAGTATATAAATGTCGGCCTGAAAAAAAATTAAAATAAGTTTTTTTGTTGCGACATTTGTTCCTTCATAATTCCTTAAAAAATTTTAAAGACCTGAAATTAGGCGCACTTGCAACTTCGAGACCGAGACAAGCCAAATTCGTTGCTAAATAAGACAAAAGAAATAATATGCTGTTGATTTGTGCGATGAGATTTAAACTTCCCAACAGCAATGTTATCTCGACCAAGGCAAAAGACACGAAAACGGCAGCGATGGGATTTCCCTTATACGTTCCTTTCGATATGAAATTAAATAAGAAACCTGAAATCGTTTAAAGGTATTAGATAAATCATTGTCAGAGTATTTTATTAAATTCATTTGAAATCGCGTATTCAGCCGACGACGACATTTTACCGTAAACGCTGTCTTTTGCCAGAGCTTCCAAAACTCTCGAAGATCCAATAAAATTGCTTAAGCTCGCGGAAAATGTTGCCGTTAAAATTCCGATCGTGATAAATGGAGGCCAAAAATTTATTCCCATTAAAAAAATGTAATTATTTTGAAGTAGAAATCTACTCGTGGTACTCGCTGATAAAAGAGACATTATAATGTAGCAAAAAAATGTAAAAGCAACCGCGCTTAATGTTCCAAAGGGAATACTTTTTGATGGTTCTTTCAATTCTCCTGTAAAAAAAAAAAAAAAAAAAAAAAAAATCAATAAAAATTCTGATGATCCAATTTAAAATTTATCATGATAATTTTTTTTTTTTTTTTTTTGTAATTTAATATGTCAAGAGGCTGCAAAAACTAATACTTTTTTAAGAATACTATTACTTGGTGTTATTCGAGACAGAAATTTTAGATGAAGTTAATAAAATGAAGTAAATTAAAATTGATGTGTAATATTTTAGACTTTTGTAAGACATCTTTCGGATTGAATAATGTGTTTACATTATTGAATTTCAATCGAAGCAAATACAGTTAAAACAATACATATAGTAAAATTATAGTAGTAGTAGTAGTAGTATTACAAAGGCTGACCTGACATATTTGCACCAGCCATGATACCAGTCACTCCTGAAAATAAAACTCCGAAGACTGCAGCAAAATCTATTGCTGATGAATTGCTTCCGGATGTGTAATCTTTCGAATAATTAGCATATAAATTCTCTGTTAACGTATTTAAATTAAACCCTGTGTATGTACCATTTACATGAAAGGTATCATTTTGCACCAGATTATTTCTCATAGGAATTGGAATCTAAAAATAAGAATCCATCTTGTAACAAAAGCTTTTTTTTTGCGTTTGCACAAAATCTAGGTCAGCTATATTTTATATAAAATTACCTCTGAGGCACCAGTACAAAGAAAACTAACAATGGAAGATAGTAAAGATATGCAAACTATTCCTAAAATAGAGACACTGGTTTTTGCAAATATCGAAGACCCCAGTAAACATACAAGAAGATTTAAAAAGTTCAAACATGATCCATATAAAAATCTCCACCAAGCTCCATCTTTTAGAGCAAAACTTGAACTGCCACCAACGAGATAACCTGAAAATTACATTTTTTTTTTTTTTTTTTTCAATTAAATAAGTTATCACTTATTTTTACTTTTGTTCAAAGAAAAGAACAAAAAATTATTTAATTTGCATTGAATGATTTAATAAATTATTTTACCCCCTGGCCCAAAATTTTCGACAAAACCTTCTACACAACCAGTGATATAAAGTGCTGATGATACAATATTGGCTAAAAAAAATAATGTTCCTATAGAGCCTCCAAATTCTGGTCCCAGTGTTCTTGAAATCATAACTGTAATGGTAATTAAGGAAACAAATTGTTAAATTTAGAAACTGTGAGAAAAAAAATTAAATAAGTAATTTAAAATAATGAAAAGGATACAGTAGGCCCCGCCTCCTTCGACTGCTCCATTTGTTGATATCGCACAAATACTAGATACTGTAAATATTAATATTAAATACGCAATGACAAATTGAGTTAATGCTAACAAAAGACCAGCATTGCCAACAATAAATCCTGAAACAAAAAATTTTATATGTATCTAAATAAGTAATATTAAAACAATTTAATTACATCAGATTAAAGTGTAAGAAAACTTGATCATACCAACTCTTAAAAATAATAAAGCACTGAACATGGATAAAGCTACTGGACAAAATACTCCTGCAAAGGTTCCTAATGTTCTCCCATTAACTTCTGTATGATTTTCAAATTCGACATAGCTACAAAAAATAAATTTATAAATATGTTTGCGGGTAAATTAATAAAAGTAATATTTTTTTTGTCATTTCAAAACATACCCATTGTTCTCTTCATTTCTGTGTGAAAAATTAAAAAAATTCCTAAATAGTCTTTTTCTTAACAATAGAGGAATTCTTTCACCAGTTTTAACAGGACGTGTTGTGACTTCATTATCAGCAGACAATGAATTAATTGCAGTTTCATCCGAATTCAACATTCTAATATTAAGAATTACAAATTAAAAAAGTTTATTTCTAAATAAGGTTTAGTTTATTAAAAAAATATGGATACTAAAAGCAATGAAAGCATAATACAGTTATAATAATTTATTTAATTTTAATAAAAGCAAGATAAACAAATTTTTGCATTACATTTATCATTAATTAAATTTAATAAATTATTTTACCTTAAATATTTACAAAGATATTTGCATATGAAAAAAGTTAAAAAACAAAACGTTTAAAATTTGTTGAATTTAACATTACAAGTTTCAGTATAAAAAATATTTTTATTATTGTATTAAATTTTACATTTAATAAAAATTGTTGAGCTATTGTTTATATTATTAAATATATTTTTAAAAAGTTGTATAAAAAAAATTAATTGATTGTCAAATGAACCATAAGTATAAAATAAAAAAATAAAAAAATTACAAAAATGAAAAACTTGACAACTCCTACGATAAGAAATTTAACACAATGCATTTAATGACGTGTCTCTAATAAATTTTAAATTGGGTGTCCGCTAGTTACACGATGGTTTAATCAACTGCCTAATCAAATACAGTAAGTTGAGACTCTTTTCTTCAGTAATAAAAAATACTTATTTTGCTATGGGGTAGTTAGAATTAAATAATTATTTATCGATGGCTCCTAAAACTGAAGTTTTTAAATAATGACAGAACCTATTTGTGAAGATGAAGGCTTGCTGCAGGAGTGGTCACCTCTGACTCAACTTCTGCAGCATATTCCTTTAAAGATTCAAAAGGGTTTATTTTCGCAAAATTTAAACTTAACATGTTTAGATGTTATTTCCGACTACATTGTGCTGGGAACTAATTTAAGTATAGTTTACTGGTACTGTAGGGAAAGTGGTGATTTGCAAAGACTACGCCTGGAGGTACATATACTGTTAAGGGAGTAAAATTTGTAAAAAAAAAAAATATAATTTACAGTACAATATCATATTTCAATTTTTTTAGAATTCTAATTGTGAAATAACTTGTGTTAAAGTTGTTTCAACTGTTGAGTATATGGTAGCTGCTGGAACTAATCAGGGTATAGTAACTGTTTTTCAAATACCCAAGCAGGTACCTAAAGCAGTTCCTAATGCATTGAAGCCCAAAAATAAACAAATTGAAAGATTTACAATCAATGGCCTGCATAATGCTCCTATAACAAACATTGAATGGAGTCAAAATGGAATGAAATTATTCAGTGGAGATAAAAATGGTGTTGTAGTTCTTACTGAAATTGATTTTGCCATGGTAGTACTTAAATCTTTTTAAATAAACATTAATTAATTCAAAACAAATAAATTTTTCATGTTAATTTTTAGCATTTAACTAAATCAGCAGAACTATTGAATGAGCATTTTGAAATTACTCAATTAAGTTATAACCAACAAAGTCTGTTGATCTCGACAATATTTAGATCTGTAATATGTGATGGCACTAAAAATTGGGAAATTTGTCAAGTAGGAACAAAAGAAAGGAAAATGTATGAAATTTTTATTTCAATGAAAATCCATTTTAAACAATATAAAATTAAATTTTTTTTTACAATTTTGATTTCAGTCTTGGAAAATTTGGTGCTACATTTTGCAAATTTGAACATGGTGTAGTTTTATATGCTTGTAGACCAGGGTACCGTTTATGGCTGTCAGATAAGAGTGGAGTGGTCCAACAGACTCTTATATTTAAATCTGCACTTCAGTCAACCTGTCCGAAAATTCAAATTATAAATCCTGTAAACAAAAAAGAGCCTTATGATACTGGTTTTGGAAAAATAATACAATTTGGAGACAACAAATTAATAGCTTACAATTCTGAAGTTTTATATGTTTTACATCCTGGAGCTGTCAGTGTTGTTTCTGTTTTATGCAATGTGCGAAAAATTTTAGATTTAGCAGTTAATGAAAATGAAATTTTTGTTCTCGAAGGAGAGAGAAGTTTATTAAGAATCAGTCCAGTACCTGATAAGCATTCGACAGGTTAATTTTTGTTTTTTTTTTTTTTAATTTTTTAGGCATAATATTCTAAACAAAGCATAACGGTTATTAATTTTGAATATTTCTAGATATGCTGTATAATTCAATGTCTAGAAAAGCCTTTAATTTAGATGATTTTGCTGCTAAAATTAAAGACACTGCAGTGGGATCAATCAAAAAAATTACCAAAGATTTAATTACAATACCTGAAGAGTAAGCTACTCAGTTTCTTCTAACTATAAATATATATATTTTGCCTATATAAAAGTAGTCCTGTTTTAAAGTTCTGGGTTGAGTTGTAAAAAATTAATAGTAATTTTTTTTTTTAGTTCGTCACCCAATTCTCCTCCTACAGTAGCTGATGAAGCAGTTGAATTACCGCCAATTGTTCCTTTGCCAAACGGAATGATGCCTAGTCTTTTTCCCGAAAATGTTGAAGTGCACTCTTCAATTCCCAATAATAGTTGGTCAAATAATACCTTTTCAAATAATAGTAAACCTGAAAGTGTTGACAATAAAGTTTCAAACACGTTATTTAATCATGACTGTCACGAAGAAATTATTTTTAGGCCTTTAAGGAAGAAGCGCAATAAAAAACCGAAAAATTTGTTAAATTCTTTAGGTGTGCTTAATTGCATATTATATCATTTCTAATGTTGTACTTTTGTTAATAAAATTGTAATCTTTGTAGTTTTAGAATCTGAATCGGATACTACGAGTACCGTTAGCGACGATAGGTTAACTTGGGGTATCGCCAACGATTTATCATTATCAGAAGAATCTGGTATCAGTCAGTCTCAATCAAGTTTTTCGGTGCTGCGTGATATACCAGCATTGGTTCAATCGGGAACTGGAACAAACAAAGGACCAGGAGTAGAAGAAATTATTTCAGTAGCTGATAATAAATCTCAAACTTCTCTAGACACGTGTGAAAGTGTTTCCGAGCAATTACCATCGTCGGAAAAATTTCGCATCGAGCAGGAAAAAGTTTTTGCACAACTTGCAAACAGACCATTCGTGTTGACAACAACAACAACCAACAGTGAAAAAACGGACAACATGTCGGTGTCTTTTAACATGACCACTTCAAGCAGTGTTTCCAGCAAATTAAGCGAAAATGTGGCATCCCCAAGTGAATACTCTGATAATTCAAGCATGGTTTTGGGAACGAAAACGTCAGAATCACAAACACCTGATAATTTTTTAAATGATGATCATCACCATTCTCCCGAGAATATAAACCTCTGTCCGTCCAATAGTAATTTTCAAAACTGTAATAATTTAAGTAACAATGAAAAAAAAAATTTCGATTTAATTCAAAGTACAAGTTCTCAACCTTGTCACGAATTAAATGACGAGACAAAAAATGATAAATTAATAGCTCAAGAAAGTAATGAAGTAAATGTTGATGAAAATTTATGTAATAAAAAAAACTGCTCAATTAATAGTAATCAATCCGTAGATCTCAACGAAGAAAACAATGAAATAGGTTCATTTTTTTTAAACAAAATTTATTTCAATATCAAAAATAAATTACATCTTATTTATTTATTGTATTTTTTTTTTTTTTTTTTTTAGACTTTGCTATAAATGACCTTTCGGATTTTTTTATGAAAGAACATTTGGATAGAATTGAAAGTTCAGAAAAACTAACACTAGCGGATCAGTTTTTTACTTCCGGTAAAAATACAAGTAATGTAGAAAATAGAAAACGAGAAAAAAAGGAAAATTCTGATTACTCCTCGACCACCGAACATTTGACCTACGGCCCACCAAGCGGAAGTAGTTTGTTAAGTTCGCAACCTTCTTCCGATTACTCATCTAGTGAGTGGTACTTTGTCCTTTTTTTTTTTTTGTTTTTTTCTCATAAATTTATTCATACGGGTAATCATTTCTTTTTTCAGTGTCGAACCAAACTTTAAAGCAGCAAATACAAGATTTTTCCGATCATTGGCCTCTACACAAAACTCCAGAATCGATGGTTAATCTCGCCGTTTGTAAAAACTATGGTCTTTGCGTAGATGCCAACGACCAAGTGTATTATTCGGATCTTTCTGGTCTCGCCTTAAATTGGATTCTTTTAGATTTCAAAGCGTCTGCCATTTCTGTATCCTACGATGGATCAGTCGTTTGGTTAATGCATAAGAAATCCGTTCACAGATTGAAAAATCATTCGGAAAAAAGTTTGTTTGATTTCAATTTTATTATCTCTTCGTTTTTATTTTTTATTAACCTCAAAAGATTTTTCAGATCCTATTTCAAACGAAACAGAAGAAATTTCATCCAACGCTTTGGCTTTTGCCGTTGATCAAAAGACCAATGACGGTTACATAATCACACCGAACGGGAAAATTATGCATTATCGCCATTCGGTGGACGACGACAACGACAATAACCAAGAAGAAGAAATATTTTGTCATCATTTTGTGACGGGTGAGTTATCCGCTTACGAAAAAGAATCTTGTTTTATTATTATTATTATTATTATTTTCGTGTCTCCCTTGTGTCGCAGATATTGTATGTTGGAATGGTACGATTGTCGTTTTAACGGAAAATCAACAATTGTTATATAAGTCGTCGTCCGATAAAAGTTTCAAGAATCTGTCGACGCCGAAGCCTCACATCAATAGTATATCAATGGGACCCGACAATCTTCTTTGGATAGTAGACGAAAAAAATTTAATTTATTTTTCCGATAATTATTTCGAAGACAATTCTCTTTGGTGGCAGGTATTTCACACGTTTAATTTTTTTTTTTTTTGAAAATCGTCGCGTCGGAAAAACAAAGCATTTTTTTTTTGTCAATTGACTTGTTTTTTAGATTCAAATTAGCGATTACATATTTAGCAATTCGTCTGCAACATTTCAAAATCTCTACAGTAAAATAAAGTTGAACAGTTTGAAGGGGAACGTTCATTGCAAAAACACGTACATAACGTCGAATGAAAATTCAATTTGGATTTATGAAAAATTCGCTTCGACGACGAGAATAAATAAAACCGATTTTACAGGTAGCTGAAAATATACACATAAATATTTAATTTGTTTAAACGTTGGAGATTTACGCTTGTAAAATTACAGGCTACAAGTGGGACGAGATTTTTTCCAAGCCGGCCATGTCCACCATTCCGTGGCAAGCCATATGTGCCGAAGGAGTTTTCGAAGACAAAGGTCACGTTTGGCTTTTATTAACGGATGGAAATATTTTTTGCCATTCCCCCAATTCAAATGATTTCCAGGTGAATATCGAACGTTCGTAATAACGTGCGTTCCGATTCGCTATCGAATCCCGTAATTTGGTTAAAAATAAAATTTCAGGCGATTTCCGTACCTTGCGATGATGACGTCATATGTTTAGCATCCTCTACGGACACGCTTTGGGTTTTGTCAGAAAGCGGAAGATTATATTCGAGATTAGGATTGTCCGAGAGTAATCTGTTTGGAAATTCATGGAGAGAATTGAAGTTACCGCAAATCGATAATTTAAAATTGGTTTGGGTGTCGTGCGGATGTGACGTTGCTTGGGGTTGCGACGTACTGGGAAGAACGTTCATCACGATCGGATCTCCTCATCATATGGCGACCAACATATTTGATGCCGCTTGGTTGGAAGTCGAAGGAAAGCCCAAAGGAGTTCATTTTAAAAAAGTAAACCTATAGAAAAAGGGAAAAATTTTTAAATTTTTTATCGGAAATAGTTTTTAAAAAAATTTTTAAATTTCAGGTTTTTGTCGGACCTCAACTTTACATGGTTTGGGCTTTAGATTCGAAAGGAAATTTATTCGTACGAGAAGGGATATTTTCTCATTATCAAATAGGAACAAGTTGGGTGTACGTGGGCGGCATCGAAGCAATTCACGTTTCAATTTCCGGTACTTCCGTTTGGGCTTTGGGAACAGACGGACGGATTTACCGCCGATGCGGAATATCGGATAAAAATTACATCGGAGATTTTTGGAAAAGCATTCCGGGAGATTTTAAAATGATGACAAGTTCATTTACCGACGACCTTTGGGGCGTGACGCAAGAAAACAAAATAATGAAATTGGAATATTACATCAAAACCTTAGACAAAAAAGATGGAAACGGTAAAGAAATACAATCGGAAGATGTCAGCTGGGAGTTGGTCGAGTAAAAAAAATAAAATAATTTTTTAAAATGTCAGAGTGTCCGTTCTATGTACACCCCCGATCGATATACAAAATTATTTATTTATTAAATATTAATATTTTATGTAAAAAATTGTAAATTCGCGCTTAATCCTTGCAAAAAAAAAAAAAAAAAAAAAAAAAAAACAATTTACACAGTGTGCCGTTAAAAGCTAATCTAAAGCTATTAGCTTAATCTAATCTCTCTCTCTCTCTCTCTCTCTCTCTCTCTCTCTCTCTCTCTCTCTCTCTTAAATTCTAATCTCTTTTTTTAATTACAATTTATAAAATTAAACTTTTGATTAATTTTAGTCGGTCGGTGAATGTAGGAGGAAAAATTAAAAAAAGTGTTTTCATTTTTAAAAAAAAAAATAAAACAATCAATCATTTGCTGCTTTAAATATATTACTGTGATTTTATTCATATATTATATGCTCGATGTAAAAAAAAAAGTTAAAATTATAATAATGGTAATAATATTTACACGTTACTAAAATAATAATAATAATAACAATAATTATATATATATATATTTTTATAATTTATTATTATTAATATGGATGATATATGTAATTTTACACGTTACCGCGGTCTCTGATTTTAATTTATTAAATTTTTTATTGCTTTTTTTTTATCAATGGGAAAATTTTTTCAATTTGCCACATTTTGTTAATTTTGTTGCAAACGCCATTGTTGCAAATAATTTTTTATTATTTTAAATATTTAAATATATTTAATTACCTTTATACATATATATGGAAATCTTTGTATTTAATTTTATTGTGATGATTTTAATGTAAAAAAAAAAAAAAAATATTTATTTAATATAAAATAAAATTTAATAATAATATATTGGAATTTTTATAAATTTTTTTTTTTTTTGTTTTATCAACCCTAAGTTACACTAGGAGATTAAGATTAAATGAAATTTTTTTTTAAATTTTAATAAAACTAAACACAATAAAGTTATTTTTAGTTACTGTACTAACAAATATTTAAATGTCTTGTTTATTTTTAAAAAAAAGTTGTTGAATTAATATAAATTTTTTTTATAAAATTATTCTCAATGACGGATAATTCAAGGGAATGAAAAGAAATTTTTTAAATAAAATCGTAGGAAAAATAAATAAATAAAAAAAGAGTTTTCCTGTCGTATAAAATGCATAATGGAAAATTTATGAACGCAAACAATAGCATGCATAGAATAAATAAAAAAAATGAGGGGGGCAAATTTATCAGGGTTAAAAATTTCCAAAAAGCTTCCCCGTAAAGCGTCACCTGCATTACAATGCACATGCTCAACTCTATGGCACACGAGGAGTCAAACGACGTCCGTCTCATTAGCAATGGAGAACACGACGAGTTTTTTTTTTTTTATTTAATTTCAGTTAAAAAATTTATTTATTTAAAAGTTTTTTAGTGTATATAAATAATTAAACACGGTCGTTTTACGTCAATTAATTATTATTATTATTATTTTTTCGATTTCGTTAAATAAAGAAAGAGAGAAAGGAAATGAAAAATATATTTACATAACAGGGAAATGGGGGATATATAATAAAAAAAAAAAAAAATGCGGGAAAACCTCGCTCGATTTTGCTAAAAAATAAAACGGCGGTTGATATTTTGTTATTTTTTTAAAAAACTATTTTTATTAAAATTATTATTATTATTGTTTGTGACGGTTGCCTTTAAAATAATTTCAGGTTTTTTTATCGCGCCTTCTTAAACTTCAGGTATTCGTTTTTTTTTTCTATACGTTTCCATTTGTTCTTTATCTGTATGTAATTAAACGTGGATGTAAATGAATCATCAATCACCTCGTGTTAAATTTTATTTTTTTTCTAATTTATATATAATTAATAAAAGGACAGCATCAGGGGTCATAGTTATAATAATAATAATAGTGTTTAATCGTCAAATGAATCCCTTAAAAAATTCAAGTTTTATCAGGATGAATAATTATTATTATTATTATTTAATTAAATCCAGTCGGGTGAAATTTGATGTTGACCCGCCATTCAAGGTAAATATTATTTTAACCTTTTCAAAAATTTTTTTTTTTTTTTTTACTTTTTTTTTTTTTTTTTTTATTTTAATACTTAAATTATTATGTTGATGTAATAAAATTAATGATTTAATTCAACAACAACAACAACAACAACAAAACCTGCTTGGATGATTGTGAATTTATTAATAATAATAATAATAATAATATGCTAATGTTATATTGGAATTATTTATGCATTCACAATTTTTAAAATGTTTTACACACACACACAGAATCAAAAAAAAATTATTTTCATATAATCTTTAGTCTTTTTAACAATAATAATAATAATAATAATACATTGTTAAACCAATGAATAATAATAATAAGTATTAGTAAAAATATATAAAAGAAAAGTGATGATGATGATGATGATGGTGATGAGGTGTTATAAGGAAAACTTTTGTTCTTAAAAATTTCTTTTTTTTTCTCCCCTTCCCCCCTTGTTAAAATATCTAAAGAATTAAGTTTAAAAAATGAATTTTCTTTTTTTTTGGAAAATTTAGAGAAAAGAAAAAAAAGGGTTTGAATAATGAATGATAATAATAATAATACAAAAGTTTTTAACTTTAAATAAAGACACACAGAAACAAAGTAAGGTTTGATTAGTTTTTAGTTTAGTTTTTTTTTTTTTTTGTTATTTAAGATTATAAAAATTATGATAAGGAGAATGATGATAATAATAATAATAATAATAATATGATTATGATGAGTTTTGAATATTTAAAGACTTTGTAACCTTTACAAAAAAATGATGTTAAAAAAGGTTTGAAAAATATATTTTAAATAAAAATCAACTTTTTTCATTTTCTTTTGTTAGTGTTATTTAAAAAATATTATTATTATTAAATTTTTAAAAACAACAACATGTCTTTGTGTTGTGTTTTTTGTTTATCTGAAAGAAAAAAATTTGACAGTTTAAATAATAATAATAATAACAAAAAAAGGCTACAGAAAATGTGATGAGATGAAAATCAAATGAAAGGATCCTATAGAAAAAATCCAACAACAGCAAAAAAAAAAAAAATTTTTTTTTAGTTCTATTTTAGTTTTTTAGTATAAAGTCAAAAAAAAAATTTATTTAGCTTCTGCTTGTCTCTCACTACCGAAAATAATAATAATAATAATAATAATAAGTGTCAGAAACAATAAAAAAAGAAAAAAAAATCAATATACATGTGAGGAATGATTATATATACATATGAGAATAACTTAAAGCTTTTTTATTAATAATAATAATAATAATAATAATAATATTTGGGTAGAGATTAATAAATAAGAAAAAAAAGTCAAAATTTACATAAAACATTTTTTTTTGTTATTTTTAAATTCAAGTCATTATTCAACCCGAGGGAAAAAAAATAAATAAAATATATATCATAGTAAAAAAAAAAAATAAAAAAATAAAAGCAAATAAAATAAATCAATATTTAGTGAAAGAATGTCTGTGTAAAGAAAAATTTCTTTTGTGTGAGAGAGAGAGAGAGAGAAAAGATTTAAACATTTTCATAAGTTAACAACCTTTTTATCCTTAAGGAATTTCTTTTTTTTTTTTTTTACGTATACACCTTTTTCACAAAACACTTGTTATGCCTTTTTTTTTTTTTTATTTTCTTTCACTCAACCTTTTGATGTCGACTCAACCTCTAATCATAATTGGAATTTTTTTTTTTAAATTTTATTTATTTATTTAATTGATTATTTTTCAATAAGTCTATGTAACATTTAATTGATTATTCGTGCATTAAGGAAAAAAATTAATAAGAGGATTTTTTTGTAATCTGCGCTATTTATTTACTCCCCCTTTCTCCTCCTCCTCACCATCTCCCCCTCCATATTTTATTTTAAGTGGTTAATTATTAACATTATTAAAACGTTTTATCATATTCTATCGATTTAATAAATAAAACAATCGTTTATGTAGGAAAAATTAATAAAATTTTATTAGCTCGTTATTATTATTAATCAAATATCAAAAAGGTAAATAAATAAATAAAAATAAAAATGGCCGTCGTAACCGTCATCGTAACCGTCATCGTAACCGTCATCATCGTCGTCGTCGTGCATTTAGACAAGGTTTTAAATTTCCATAGAATAAATAAACGATTTATATACAAAGAAAAAAACGAACTTTTACGATTCGATAATAGTATTAATTATTAGTATTGTTTAATAACAAATCGGAAAAAAATTATTATTATTATTATTAATAAATATAAATAAGATTTTATAAACAAAAAAAAATCTTTTTCTTTTTCTCTTTTCTCTCAATAAATAAATTAAACTAATAATAAATAAAAAATTATTAAAAAAAAAAGTTTTTTTAATTTATTTTTTTTTCTCAATGTTTTTTGTGTACAAACACAACAAAACAATTTAATAAAAATTCATCCGAGAGTTTCTTTTTGTTGTTGTTGTTGTTGTTTTCTCTTCATTCCTATTAAGAAAATTGGATGAAAAGTTATTATTATTATTATTATTATTTATACGTTTAATCTGAGGTAATGTTTTTTTATAATAATAATAATAATAATAATAATAATCGATAATGTTTATTTTATTTTAAGTATTAATAACATGAAAGTTTTTTTTTTTTTTTCGATCGATTTTGATTTTTTCAATTTCTCTCTCTGTCGTCGTTATTTTTATCATTATTATCATTATTTACATTTTTTTTTGTTGTTTATTTGCATAATACGTTATGAAAATGATTTATTTAAATGAGTGTAATTAATATTATTACGGATTTATATTAAAAATTAAAAAAAATCATTTTTCGTTTTATAAACATTAATATGGATAAAGTAAACATTATTATTATTATTAATATTAATAATAAATAAATAAATAATATTTATTTATTTTAATTAAAAACGATTTGTTTACGGTTTGACATTTTTTTTATTTTATTAATTATTATTTACCGCGGGGGAGGGGGGGTTTCTGTTTGTTTGCTTATTATTTAAGAAAAGATTCGTTTGTTGATGAGTCGTTCGTTTTTATTTTATTTAAAAAAAAATTATTTATATATAATAACATACAAAAATGTGTCGTCAATGTGTTTGTTTTTTTTGGGGGGAGGGGGGGAACTTGTAGCGCGTAACGTTATAAATCATCGTGTAATGATGAGTCGTCGGTATTGACTA